ATATATATATATGTATATATATAAACGGTGCTGTTCTTTTGATCAATTACGGGAATTTTTCAAGAACTTTAACTAACCGATTCTTTTTGTTTTTTTCTTTAGTTATCCGAAACGCAAAATCTTCTTCAGAAGTGTCAAAAGGTTTGCGTTATGTGCGGTTACCGTGTTGTGAGAGATTCATAATTACTAATGCCAACACTTCGTGAACCTTGTCGTCCATTTTGTCAGGGCAAAGAGCGCACTGATACGACGATAACTTGCAAACCTTTAAATTTGGTACTTCTGAAGAAAATATACTCGTGAAAGCTTCAAAAGTATTAGCAAAATTTCTTCGTTCAGTTTTTCACTTTTTCAAAAAATATAAATATAACTGCTACATAACACATACATAAATTTTAGAGTTTAATCGAAATTTTGGTTTCGGTTTCGATCAAAAATCAGGATTTCGATTTGATTTCGGTTACGACTGAAATTAAGAGAAAATTTCGGTGGATAAACCAAAACTGTTGCAACGCGCCGGTAAGCGTTTAAAAAAACAACTGTTCGATTTTAATTATTAACTTGTTGATTAAACATAAGACAATTTGAACATAAACTTTGATGCGATCCTAATAATCCTCAACTTTTAAAGAAATCAAATCACAGTTATTATAATGTAATTTGATTTTTTTTAAAGTTGAGGATGCAATATTATTATATTATTATAGTTAGATATTTTAATAGAATTTTGTTTTTTAAAGAGTAAATAAATTTGTCATATGATTTCTGAAAATCATACAGTCTCTGTAAAATTAATCAAAAAATATCAATTTCAATTCCGGCCGAAAAAATGTGATTTTATTAACTTCTTTCTCTCTCTCTCTCTCTCTCTCTCTCTCTCTCTCTCTCTTAGTAAGACTTATCTAAGTTTCGGTTTCAGTTTTGTTTTCGACATTATTTTGAATGACAACCGAATATTCGTTTTCGACCGGAGATCAAAATGTAGTTTCTGTCGGACTCTAATAAATTTACATCTATGTTATGTAGTAGTTTATATTAATAGTTTGCTGGATTAAGCGCGAGTGGAAGAAATTATATAAAACACATATATTAGTCCCTAACTTTCGATTATAATATTGCATATTCTTTATGCTAAAATAAAAAAAAAACATTTTACAATAAATAGAACTAGTTATAATTCGTGAATGCACATATTTATAACATAAGAACGGAAAATGTGATTTCCGGTTCCAAAATGAATCTTCTTATTTAACATTGCTGCTCGATGTTAAGATGTTCCATTGACGTTATATTACATAAACTATTTCGATAGTAAGTATATAAAACTATAATTGCGACTCTCGCGTGGATTTCCGTAGGATGTTGTCGATGCTGAACATCGTCATTTTGGTGATACGTCCTGGAGAATCTATACGTTCGATTTCGGTATCCTTCGTCATGACGTTTTTTTCGTTTGTTTCAGTAATTTCTTGCTGATCTTCTTGAAGTTTCGTCGAATTGGATAAGAATTCGGTTGATATCTGCAATCATATCAAAACCGCGCTTTAGTAGTGTTATCAGAAATTCTCCGTAAAATTGCATCCTAGCCCGAATATCTATATATATATATATACAAGTATATATATATATGCGTATATG